ATAAGAGACCATTCAGATTCTTAGTGACAGAGAAAATAGCGGCCGTTTAACATAGTGCCACGTACAGCATCTAGATGACTTCAGAATTGGAAAGGATGGCCCAGGGAGAGGGACTGAAGCAGTCCAAACCTCGTGACACAGCTGAGGAATTAATCCAAGAAACCAGCCTGAGATTTCTGACCTCAGAAGGCTAGACAGTGTTCTCCTCACATACCTTCCTCTCCCAGGAGAGCCTCACAGAATTAGCTTTATATTTCTATTTGTGTTACAAGCTAGGAATGGCATAGGCAAGAGCAAAGGATTCTTGTCTAGTTTACTTCACAAGTTTATGGATTTTAAAAGGCCAGAGACAAAACCCACTGGATGCACAGACAAGCTATGCTGCAAGACAACTGAAAACACAGCAATTTTAAAATGAGGACAGTGTGCTGGAAAGCACTAGCTCTCCCTGGGTAAGAAATGATGCCCATTTCTGTCTGTTGTCTTCCCAAACCTGATTCAAGAATCCAAAAGTGAAGGTGGGTGAGTTGTTTGGTTGTTGGGGTGTTTATTTGTTTTGTTTTGTTTTATTTTTGTTCATTTTCCTACGCGTGAACCTGCTTTTATTTAGGGGTGAGATTTTCACAATATTCAATACTGATATAATTCACCTTAAGTGCATGGTACACCCCACATTGACTTCAGCAGACATAAAATAAAGCCATTGCTGACTTTTGAAAAGCTTACATTAAAAACAAACAGAAATCTAAAATAATCATTTAGTGACAGCGTATATGTGATGTTTATGGGTGGTCCTGTCTTTTCTCACCGTATATTTTTCAATTCCTACCAGCTGAAGCTTCTCTTTTTTTTTTCTTTTATAACATGCTTGACTACAGATGCAGTTTCACACTGAAATGATATAAAAGGTACAAAGATACAAAGAAGAATAATTGGAGAAAGCCACAGGTATTAGAGTTAAGTGTTCAACATATACTTGTACATACACATCTATGCAATTACAATCTGCCAGTATCATTATGTAAATACAGTTTACAATGTTTATGTTTTTTGTTCAGTCTAAAATCTACTAGAAGTGAAGAAAGGCAGGCTTGCCCTAGCAGACAAGTGACACTACCTAGGATTACTGCTTTGACAGGTTGGCTCTTGGGATGAGGGAGTCAAAACAACTGGATCATCTGAAGCATCACACATCCTTGCAAGAACAAAAATCTGATTGAATTATAAACAGATGTGCATGCTTCCAAGGCCTACGGATCTTCTGACTTCCAGAGGAAAAGGTCAGGGCATCTGGTTTTTCTTCCTCAATTGCCACTTCATTTGGTGTGCGGCTTACTTTATTTCTCTGTGCCTATTTCCAAATTCCTGAATAGGAAATGCCAGTTGTACACAACACAAACACCCTGAAGTGTTGTGGTGTATTTTGATGAAGGTCTTTAGAGATCTCCTGAAGAGGCATGCTATCAGGGGATTAAGTATTGATCACAAAACAATTTGAGGATTTCATGTAAAAAATAATGGTATTATTACTGATGTAAAACCAAAGAAAGCTTATCTTTTTATGTAGTCACTCCCAAAGTATTTACTTCTACTCTACAAGCCTGCCTTATGCACTATGTGTATTCTGAAATTAAGTACACTAAGAGGCAAGTCTTCTGATCGTATATACACCATGAGCCAAATTTAATCCTGCCTCATACAGTGGGTAGATACTTTGACCTTCAAGAGGTGTCAATCAAGACAGAATTTATCTCAGTACCTTTCTCTGCCAAAGTTTTCCACAATCTTGCTCATGTGTTTTATAGTAATACTTTCTTTTTCCCTGTTCATTAACTATTAAAATAAAATATTCACATGACAGATTTTTGCCTCAGTTTTCCCACAGCAATCATATTTCCTCACCCAAGAGGATGTCAGGAAGCTTCATTAATTGTTTCTGAAACATTTACAACTTTTCATGGAAAAAGGTAAAGCATCCGTCTCCTAAAGGAGAAAAATAATTTCCAAATGGATGAAGCATCTCAGCTCCCCTCTGCAGCGCACATGTATTTTTATTCTTCTCTCAGAGAGAAAGAATATGAGACGCAGATGTTATAATCAGTTTGTCAAGTTCACACCTATTATCTAAAGAACAGAACTTATGTCTTTTCCCCTTCGGTTGCAGTCTTTAACCTCAAAGCAATGCTTCATGGTTAAAATACCTCTGGATCTGGTGACAGACCAGAGGGTATCTGAATTGAACAAATCATCCCACAAGGAAGAGCAGCAGCGAGGCTTGGCTTTCTTTGGATTTGGTTTTAATTTCTCTCCCTCTCCCAGCCACAATATCCCCAGCTACGACTGCCCTCTCCCACTTCTCCCTCCCATGCTCTTTCGTGCTTCCCTCTGGCCAACACTCGCAGCCCCTCCAACTCCCTCCTCCATCCCTAGCAGCAGGGCACCCAGGACACAAGTGTTAGCTCCCAGGCCAATTTGGGTGAGCTGACTGGTCCTGCTGGCAGGACAACCATTGTGTGCATCCTGAGTGCATGCTGTTACCCAGAGTTGTTGCAGTCCACAATGGTTACCCCATGTGAAAGAGAAGCCCGCTTACAAAAAAATTACCTCCTGGCTGCAGCTCACTTGAGCTAATCTTATGTAAGAGTTGCTTTCGTTTATTTAAAAACAAGAAAAAAATCATTTAAAAACTGAATTGAAGGAATGGAAATTTCAAAAAAAAAAAAGCTGTAAAAGAAAAAAAAAAGCCAAAGATAAAAGCATCAGTAGTTGATGCAAACAGGTGAACGTGCTAAAAAAAAAAAAGGAAAACATAAAGAAAAAAAGACCCTGAACTTTAAAACATATCACCAGGGATACCACAAGGGATGGTTGCCACTAATTTAAAGATTGTATTGTCCCTTACCAGAGGGTGCATTTATTTTCTTTCTTTCTATGTATCAGGACAGTAGCTGTATTCTCACACCAGGTTAAACTATTGCTATCAAAATGATAGGTTAGGAATGAGCTCCACAGGTATGCACTGAAAAAGTTCTTTGCTGCAAACCGAAAAACAGGGACTGGTGCTCAGAAGAGATTAGGGATATCTCAGGAGCAGAAAAGGGAAAAAAACAACATCAGAAAGCTATGTCTTCACAACAGGAAGCCGTGGGAGGCTCGGGGTGGATACTAAGCCACTGTTTGCTGAGGACTTGAATTAACGTATTATGGCTCTATAATGATCAATTCCAATGAACATATCCAGACCGAGATCCTCTAAAGGAATGATCAGCACTGGCTTACAGACTTGAAAGCAAAAAGGCATCATATGAATAGTATTCTGTCTTCATGCGTCACATAGGCACTTTACATCCTGCCTACTACAGGCAAACCAGACAAGTCCTATGTAAAATAAAGATCTACTGGGTTTCACTTGTTCTGCCTGAGCTTTCCTCATCTGATTCCAGCCCTGCAGTCTCCCACCACAGTTCTGGCTCCTCAGCTGCCATGGGGCTGTCACATGCTGTCTCCTTGGCTATCCTGGATCATGACCTAAATCATGTACATTCTTCTAACCCCTCTACAAAGTGACCCCAATGCATAGGTCTCATGTGCTGAGCCTGAAAGCAAACAGTACATTTGGGGAACCTTGGATTTATTTCAAAATAGATGAAGTCCTTTTCCAAAAGAAACAGGAACATTAAAGCCTTTGTAATGGAAACAGTGAGACATGGGCTTCAGACTGATCAAGCTGAAGCAATCTTCAAGGCAATCTTTTGTCACAAATGAGCAATATTTTCACTCCCCACCCCTTAGCAGACCCCTGTGATATATTTTATTTCCTTTGCAACTGGCATCAACTCATTTTCCAAAGTCAAATACATCTACCTTCCTTGTTTCTCTCTCTTGGGACTCTTTGAAAGAGAAGGAAAACATCAAGACTAGACTGTGTTGTGGGATTTAACATGTCAGGAGAGAAACAACAAAGAACACAATTATAGGAATGATACATAATACAAAATAAACTGGGAAAAGGGTGAGACAAAGAAAAAGCGCAGCTGAATCATCTGAGCTATAGCTGCAGAGATCCCTGCATAAATCCCCCTATAATTTGCCCTATCACAATCACTTGGTTTAGGATTCTGCTGTACTCCATTTCACCACTGCCTATCACTCACACACATAAAACCAGTGCTGCTTTGAGCTACGCTACTCCTTGATCATAAAAAGCCTTCTTTCCCCCAAACCCGTCTGCCTGCCAGCTCAAAAATCCCAGGTATATCCACCACAAGGTATCACCTCCTCACAGCACTTAGAGCTGCAAGTCGTGCCCAATCACCATTTATCCATCTCACTTCAGGCACCATTTTGTGAAGACTGACTCACTCCACCATGTCCTTTACTTCTTAGAGTACTAGGTAATTTGTCCTTTGCAGTAGCATCCATTTTGTCTACCTGATTTCCTCTCTTCTTGGAATTTCATGAGGTCACATCGGTTCTATGTCACAGGAGAGTACACGAACTGGTACAAGGGGAAAAGTCACCATGGAAAGAATAAATGTCTTCATAAAAGGACACTATCACTGCCTGACATCTATTTACATTTCAGATGTCATCACACAAGGCTGTTGAAACTCAAGCAGTTTTGGACAGTAGCTCTCATTCTGTGTCACTGACATCTCCCTAATAGGGTGTGTTTGTGGCATTTCTCTGGGCTTCTTGCATCGTTTGTACACCATTCTAAGTACAATCCTAAATGTAATCATTCTTCTGCTGTCCTTCAAAGCTTCTTTCTATCACTGGCCACCTTTCACATCCAGGGTTAAAGAAGCTCTCTCAAACTTCTGTTACCTTGAATTTTTCTGCTGCATCATAGGAGAAGAATCATATAGTAACTCAAGCAATGCTTTAAATATGCAGAAAAGAAGTAACACCTTTATAATGAAAAGGTGAGCCTTCTAGTGAGAGAGGTCACTTTCTAGTAGCAATGTGCAAAGAAATGCTAAAGCCTTATTATTACTCACAGCTATAGGGAGATCTCCTTCAGCTCAGTCGATGATTGTGTGGAACCAAAGGACCAGGACCATGAAGGCAATTTGTCTGAAAATAGGAAAAGGAGAGCAATCTTTTATTTAAGAGTATCATGTATTTGCAGTCGGCTGCAGTATTTTCTCCATCAAGACTCCATCTTTAAAACAAATGCAGAAAAAAAAATCTCCCTGTTACTTTCTTCTCTCTCAAATGCTCAGAAAGTTTTCCATCCAATTCATCTTTTTCATTTCAACTTTTCAAAATGTTTTATAGATCGCATGACTTGTTTTTCCAATTTTTATGAACTTTGTTCCAACCTGATGACTAATGGAAAAATCTTTTTATGGAAAAATTGTGAATGTGATGTACCAGATTCCATAACTCTTGGAAAAACTTTTGCATCAGATTATCTATAATACTCTCTCATACCTGTATTCATTGCTTTTTAAATTGTGATTATGATTACTGTGAATTTGTTTTGTAATAGACTAAATACACACTTTCCTTGCAATCTAAAATTTAAAGACTTAAACGCTTGCAGTAACGACCAATTTCATTATTTGTTCCTTCCTAATTTCTCATGACTAGATAAAATGCTGATTAGTTATCCTCTTGGTTTCCTCTACCTTTACTTATCCCTGAAATGAAAGACCCCGTTTCTCTAGTACTTAAATCAGAAAGCAAGAAGTTAAGGTCTCCATCTTTTCCTCCACCAACACTGTAAGAATCATTTTGTCACCTTGTATAAATTACTTGCTTCTGCAAGGATAACTCTTGTGATCTCTAGGGAAAGATAACATCACAAAGTCCACTAGTATCCCAAGATCAAACGTGTTTAAAACACCCATGACAATCAAGTGCTCCCAGTCCTACACTACGGCCCTTATTCAGTAATCACAGGCCACAGATTTCACTTGGACAGCTGAAGCTTAAAATCACAAAATTAGAGCCTAATGACTTTATTAATAATATTATTAATAATGAAGCATTTATATTCTCTGGCCATTTTCATTTCAAATCGGGATTTATGGTAACGTGAACAAAACCCCAAATAAATTGCATCTGAAATTATCAATAGCTCACAGAAGCCCAGCTCTGTCAAAAGTGAGGAACTCAAAAGGTGCAGCCATAGCTCCTTAACCACTTGAATGCTGGCTGTATTTTTTATGACAATTCTCTATTAAACCTGTAAGTTGGGAGATACAGGACTAGGAAGAAGTATCGGTAGTGGTTTGATTTTTCCTTCTTTACTGATGACCTACATGTGGTGTTTTGCTTGAGGCATTAAATACATTGCAGAAACACATTTGAGTTGCCTCAGTATCTAATGTTTCAACAGTAATATACTTCTCCTTCCTTATCTTTTCCCAATACAGGGTTCACAATGGTCTGTAGAAGCATACATTCATTATTCCTCAGCTAGCATTCTGCTTTCCTTTTTTTTCTTTTCTTCCTTTTTTTTTTTTTTTTTTTTGTGGAAAACAGACCTACATAGAGTTGTGCAAATTACTTGGCTGGTCAATGACCACAACAGAACTCAATGGAGCTCTCTACTTTTCAGCACTTTGCTTTATCCATAAAGCTTACTTTGTTCTTAGCAATAGATTGCTTCTTTCAGCATACAAATGCTGTCCCTGCATCATCTACCACAAAAACAATTTTTAAATGTATGCATTTGGACTCTTTGAGTCCACCTTCTCACTGTTTCTCTCTTTTTTTTTTTTTTTTCTGACTTGTCTGGAAATAAGATTTCTTTGCATTGCAGAATCTGAATAGGGAGCTGCACCTGTTAGCTCTGTGATACCTCAGGGCTCTCTAGTCAACCATCTGCTTCTCAAAAACCGTGTTATCTCTTGGGCAAATAAGAAGACAGTGAAGTTTGTTTTATCACCTTAATGCTGGACGTGATCATTTATACTGTACTATAATGTACCAGGCCAGTCAGAAGTTTTACTAAGGAAGAAAATTCCAGGTAAAAGACAAAGAGGGGTAAGAAGAGGAGGGAAAAGAGTCATGGAGATGAACCAAGAGGAAATGAATGGGAATAGAACGAGCTTGCTTCCAACGAAAGTCAACTTGATATGCTCTACTTGGACCAAGTGACTTATTGCACATTTCTATAACATGCTTCTATATAGTTGCAGAAATAAAAACAAATTGGTAAAAACTCGACAGAATTTTTAAATAAAAAAGCTTGATCCAGCCATTTTAATGTGACTTTTTGTCTTGAATTACTGCCTGAAACTCATCTCTTTCGATTGAATGAAGTCTCAGAGTGCCACCCAGGCTCTGCCTGTTTTTTCCAGGAAGAGAAGACCAATGCCTGATTCATACTTCCATTATATCACAGTTGTGCTTTTGTTTGGCATCCTCTCATCTCTTGCAAGTCACTTGCAGATGGTCTAGAAGCCACAGAACAAGCTGTACTTCCTTTTGATGTCAGCCATCACCATCTTGTGGAAGCCTTCCAGTTTACTACACACAAGGTACAATGATCACTCTCCACAGATCTCTCTTCTGACTTTAAAAAACTTGTCATAGGATTCTGTATTTAGCTTTTCCTCGGCTATCAGGTTCCCATTATTATCAGGAATAAAGAAATAACTTGCACCGCTTTCATCTCACAAGGCACGATAAGTTCACAGCACCCAATTCAGGAAAAGGAACCGGGGATTTTGTGGATTGCTCAGTGCCTCGTGCAGATTGGTGGTCCAAAGGAAATACTTTGGAGAATACTATAATGCTGTTACGTAAGTTGGTGTTATGCCATCCCTCTGGATTTTGCTGTCAACCCTGATCACCCTGTCTCAAATAGGATGTAAAAGAAACAAAAAGGGTTCAGAGAGTAGAAAGACTCATTAAAGCCCCCAAGAGCTTTCCATATGCAAAAAGTTTAGAAAGCTTCAAACTGACAGAGAAAATGAAAAAGACTGAACATAGGAGAAGTGATATAAATGTAGCTGCACAGAGAAAATAAAATAAATCTGACCTCCCAAGAAAAGAAGGGACAGTCATTAAAAGTAAAAAGCAGAACATTAAAACCAATAAAAGGATTATTATTTTTTTATCCACATACTATATAATTAACTTGCAGGACTCTGCACCCAAGACAGCGGAAGGGCCAAGATTTTATGAGGGTTTGAAAAAGGACTAATTATTGCCATACTAACAATAATAAAAACATAAGAATAATATAATTGTAGAAATAATTATTAGCAGTAGTCAATAAACAGAATATCCGCAATTATGGTACAATAAGGAATGAGGACTGAAAACTGACCGTGTTTAAAGACAAAAGCAAACTTCAATTTGATACCTATTAAGGAGAAACTACCCTTGTGGGAAAGGTTAAATCACTTACTCTTTACTGGAAACTCGGCAATTTTTTTTTTGAAGGATCTGATACTCAGTTCTGTGATGCTAATGGTGTAGCTTTCTAGAGTGGTGTCTGAAATGCATATTATGCTCTTCAGTCCAGTGTTCAACTTAAATGTCCCACACGATAGAGTTTGTACAACCAAAATCAGATCCTTGTAAAATCAAAGAACATTTCTGCTCTTCAGGTGCACATGCTATTTTTATTTACTTGTGAAAAGTGAGATTATTTTGGCCATTTCTTTTAATGTACGTAATGAAGTGGGGGCAGAAAAGAAGAAGAATATTTTGTAGATATAACAAAAAAAAATGCTAGTGATAGTGTTTCTTTATTTGTCAAGTAAGATGTGAAAAAGAATCAAATTTAAGGCAAAGCATTGTTAACCATCTACAGATCTCCATGCTCAAACAGACCTTTTTACTATTATAAAATGAAGTTTACATGTGGGATAAACAAAAATCAGATTCTCATGAAGTTGTACCAGTTCACAGACAGCCAAATGAGCCTGCATTCTCATGGATTTCTGTCCACGCTGGGTCTCCAATGTATAATTTTGGTAAAATTGTGAGGTAGCCTCTCCCTCAGTGGGGTCATTAAAAGAGCCTTTCCCCTTTAAAGAGCTGCCTAGTTCCACAAAACATGTGGAAGCCTTGGTATCTTGGAGACTTTTACTCATCAAACTTGGCTGAACGTGGCTAAATTAAAAAAAAATAAAATAACAGAATTGGGAGACAGGTAACACTAACTGCATCCAGGAGCAAACAGAGTGGGTTCCCAGAAATCTCATTTCCTTGGGGAGACACGCCTAGGGAAGATGTACAGATGTAGGCAGCCTCTGAGAGTTACTTAGAAAAACTTCTGTCCCTGCAGAATCTCCCCAAGCATTCCTCCAGTGAAATCAGCCTGTAGCAAAATGCAAGCACATAAGGGCATATGTTTCTGCCCCACACTCAGCTGCTGTGGAGATGTTTAAGGTAGAGGAAAAAGCTGGAACCCATTTAAACTAAATAAAATCGGGCCGCATACTCTCTGCCAAAAGCTTGTTTTATTTCCTTGTACATCGGTATATCTTTGCTGACACAAAAGCATACACTACAACCTAGAAGACTATCTCCACTATTCCAACTTTTAGACGAAATAGAGCTGTGAAACCAAAATATCACTTCTTCAGAAACAGGAAAAAAAAAAAAAACACAACGAGCACTCCCATAAACAATGGTCAATCTAAAGCTGCAGAAGAAATATATGCAGTAACACACATGCTTACCTGCACAAGCCTGTAACATCAGCCTTTGAGGGTTTTTTTTACATCTACTCTGTAACGATGCATTTTTTGAAAATGCTTCTAGTGCTCAGGAATGCCAAGAATTTAGGAAGAGAGCCACAGCTTAAGAGAGCAATTATTTGCCAGTAAATACTCAATTTGCTTGTCCTGTGATTTTTCTTCTCCTAACTCGCCCTCTCCATAATCCGTCTCTTGCTGCGTCACGAGCACAAGAAGTCTTTTCTTCATAACATAACACTTCAGTTAGCTATTTTGTTAGCATTAATTAAGAATTCCCTCTACTGGTCATTTTCTATACTCTTACAAATAGCACCTTGAGCCCCGGACATTAGAAAGCAGTGAGTCAGTGTGTGGGATTCAGCCACCGTTTATAAACACCTTCAACCACATTCACCCAGTTTACAATAT